TTTTTCTGCCCCCCTCTCGCTTCCATCACAGCCTGTGCACGATCCCCATTCCGCAGTTCTCATTCCCTGTCGCTGTCCCGCTCCCACTCTGATTCTATATTCCCATTCCCTGTCTTTCTTTCATTCCCACTCGCATTCCGCATTCGCCTTCCATTCCCATTTTCTTTCCCTTTCGCACTTGCAGAAGTATGCCTCCCTCTGACACTGCTGTTCCTGCTGTTGGTACTCTTTCTCTCTCACTCTCTCTCTCTCTCCATCTCTCCTCTCTAAATTCCTGTTCTTCTGCTTATTTTGGCTTTTATGCCTCTGCCTCTGGTGAGTGAGTGAGTGTGTGTGTGTATGGATGAAAAGAATAAAGCTGTTTTCTGCTCTTGTTGCTCACTTTTGTTCCTGCTCTTCTGTCGCGTCGACGCTGCTTTGTCTGGGTGTGTGTGTGTGCGTTATCCGCGAGACCTTGAACTTGAGACTGAATTTCCAAAAAGCGTACAAGCACAAACACTCACACACGCAAGCAGAGCCACAGAGGCAGAACACACACACAGCCAAACATGAATTCTCATTGTTTGCACAACACACAGACAGACACGAATGGGCAATTTCTTTGCCTTTTTTGCGGCCTTTTTGCCTTAAATATTTGGACTCATGTGCATTTAATATACATACAGACACATACACAGCGACAAAATTCTTCCCCCAATATTTCCGCATTAAGAAATTTGTTTTTTGTTTGGCTTTTTTTTCGTTTGTTTTTTACGACTGCTTTTTTCTCTATATCTCTATCTCTCTGTCTCGAAAATATAATGTAATTTCTGCTAAATATACATATGCATTTGTTTTGTGATTTTGCTGAAATCTTTTTTAATTTGTCATTAAGTACTTTTATTTATATTTAATGTGTTTTATTGCAGGGTATACATATATGGTGTATATATGTATGTTATGAGCCTATATGTGTTGCATATAGATTGACGCATTTGCCTCCAGCCACAATTTGTTTTTGCATTTTTAATTTGTTTTTATTTTTGCGATTGTTGATTTGATTTGATTTTGTAACCGACATTTTAATGTCTTTCCAAATGCATATTCGTTATTTTCATTATTATATTTTGTATATTTTAAATGAATTTGGTAGATTATAATGTGTGTTTATGTTACATCATTTAAGAAAGGAAAGCAGGAAAACATACATATGTTTTGGTGGATATGAATTACTGAGAATTGCAGGAATAAATAAGAATATAGATCTATATACTTTAGAGTTGAAAATGAGCTTATAAACGATTAAAACTGATTCGCGGGGATTTACACTCGGCTAAAAATTGTTTCCATAAATGCAATACATTGCTTTTAAACGATTTGCATATGTATATGGGATTTTTACAACCCGCATAACCAGTTACTGAATGTAAGCGTTTCGTCTTACCGATATTTCCTATAAACATTTTTGATTGAAATCTAATTCTGAGTCAGCAGTTTCAGTGAATCTTTCTTGTATATGTATTATTGTCTTATTTTGCGTTGTTTTTGTTCCCAGTATATTGATTTCTATTTATTTTTGTCTAATAACCGTTAAGTATTCTGTCACTGCCCATTGTTTTTGTCAAAATTAACACTTTCTAGTGGCTGACAAAATGCTACTGTTGTCACGCGCCAACAACCTGGAGCCCTACAGATGTTAATTGCATGAGAATCGCTTTTGGTACACGGAAAATCCAAACATAATTGATCAATAACCAATCATTAATCGGCCACTGGATAATCCTAGAAAGTTGTGGTATCTATTTTAGTAGCAGATGAAATCAAAGTTGGTTTCGTACATTACGTATGCGACCCGTTGTTCTGACATTTTGCAACAAGCTTAAGCCGTTGGGTTGGGGCCTTGACCCGATCCGAGAACTGCACTGACCATATGGCCGCCACACAAGCTGCATGTGCAACAGTGCCACACTGGCACACCAGCTGCAACCTCCCCCCTCCGTCTACATTTTGCTCAATATAGTATCACGAATTGCGTTAATCCGATTTTGTAATTGCGTTACGTTAAAAAAGGTGGAGAAGGGGGGGGGTCTGACATAATCTATCTATCTAGAAATGGCATTCAGAAGGGGTCCCCATTTACCCACCGCCAACTGTCTCATTATCGAAGCCAATCAATAAGTCAACCGATAAGGCGATAAGGGGACTGTGACTCTATCCGCAACTCCAGAGACAGTGCCAAGAGAACCCTCCAACCAGAGAGAGAGAGAGAGAGAAAGAGAGCCCAAAGCGATTACAAAATCTGAAAGATATACGGACGGATTGGTATATGCCACAATATACTATATGGGGCAGCAGACAGCAGCTTACATAATTCTAAGGCAAAACCGTATTTGGGTTAAACAAAAAATTGAGGAAAAAAAATGGGAAAATCATTTGCTAATTTCTTGCCACGAAACGAGAAATTTAAGTTTTTCCGCGCACACTCAATGTGTGTATCTGTATCTGTGTGTGTGTTTTGTATGTGTATGTGTGCGTGTGTGTGCGTTTGTCTGCTCAGGTTGTTGCCAATCTATTCCCAACCTACCTCAAAATGTTTTGCGTTAGGCCTGAAAAAAAGACACAGAGAGCGGGTTCGAGGGGAGGTCTGGGCTGTCTGGTCTGCCCGAGCAACTTGCGCTCTTTTTCACTATTTCCCACATCGTGAGCACACACATACATACAACAGATAAAGAAACGCACACACACAGACACATGGCTAAGCTGGTTTGTCATGTAAAGATACTTTACAGCAAAGAGGAAGATAGACAGCGAGAGAGCGTAACCAGACTCTCGGCTCGACCTGCTCTCCGTCGCCGCATGTCGCAATTGAAAGTTGCCACCGCTTCACTCTGTCTCTTGCCTCTTTTTCTGCCTCTCTGCCACAGTGTGGGTGGGTGGTGGTGCTGCTGTTGTTGTTGCCGCTTCTGTTGAAAGGCCCGCAAAAGGTTGAAGGTAAGACTAAGAAAAGAAACCAAAACAAAAGCCCCACAAAATGAAGTCATGAGGAACGGACACACACACACACACACACACGGAGTGACTACAAGGGGCAGAAGAAAAAGGTTAAAATAAATAAATAAAAGATGAAAATGTTGTAAGCGGAAAATATATATCATCTAGGAATTTGTGTGAGAAAAATAAATGAAATAGAAATAAACCTCAAATAAAAGACATAGACAGAGAGAGAGAGAGAGAGAGGAGAGACTCCAATTTCAACAGCAGTTTCCATCTTGTGGAGCGGAAAGATGCCAGGGGGTGGTAGGGAGGGTCAGGCTTAAATACAGTCAGGTGGGAATACAGTTCCAAATGATTGGGGATTTGCTAAGCGTTTGCATAAGTGATGTTGTTTATGGGGTTCAGTTCAGGTCAGGGTTTAAATCTTAATAGATTATGCTACGTATAAAACCATGTAAGATACATCCACAAATATATAGAAGTTCTGGATAAAGTAGCTTCTGGCACTCAACTAATCATATAAGTTATCAAAAGATATAGGAATATGGCTGAGTTCCCTTCTAAATGTTGGAGAGATTGCTTCATCATTAATTGCTTCTGGCACTTTTCGTTTCAGGATACCATTTAAAATGTTCTCCCTCCCCCATCTGCAGTAGCTCATAAATCCCTTACCATCTTGCACTTTGGGGAGCTGTGAGCGAGAGGAGCGCATTTCCGCCATGGCGTCTTTTGGTAAAGAACTGCAATTGGCAGAAACATTTGCTACTAGTTGGTGTGTATCTCTGGAGCCACGGGGCCCTGGCCAAATCAAAGTAAAAGCTGCGTTGCAAAAAGCCAAAACCGAGGCAATCTCTGGGCCAGGCCAAGAGCAATAGGAGGGACGGGGAATCAGTGGGAATAGGGGGAGCAGCAGCAGTAACTTTGCTGAATGCTGACGACGACGGCGACGACGCCCCGTGTAAAAGTCAAATAGAGGAAACAAGTTGTTGGTTGTAGGGTTACGAGCCAGGCCATGTCCCATGGCACACAACACACAGATATAAAGGTGTGTGCGTGTGAGTGTGAGGGGGGCGCCTTAGAGTATGTAGCAAGTGGCAGTCTCCCCTCATACCCCCTTCAAGTCATTTAGCAGTTAAGTTGGCAGAGCTTTGGCAGTTTTAGAGCAGCAGCAGCAGCAGCAGCAGCAGCGGGAGAGGAAAACTATTTCACACACATGCACACATAGACATATACAGAGAGAGAGAGAGAGAATTTACAAAACTATAGCCAAATACAGCCAAGAGAGAGAGAGAGAGAGCTCTGCCATAGTTTTACACTCACTTAAGCTAGATAAACCAGCTGGCTCTCGCTCTGCTCTCGCTCTGCCTGACTCTCTTTCTCGCTGCCTCTGCCTCTGCTGCCGCCTCAAGCAATCAATAAAATTGTTGAGGTGGGTTAGGAAACTGTTACGAAGCCGTTGACGTAGACTTTGGGTGCTTGCTGCCTGCTGCCTGCTGCTTAGGATTCAGATTCTGCTTTTGCTTCATGTGCTTAGGCAGCGACGCCGCTGCGACGCCGGCGGAAATTGCGCTATTTTAAATAATGTTTATTTTGGCTTTTTTCTATATCTTTTTTGTTTGTCGGCTGTCCTCTTCATCATTCCCTCTCTGCTTTTTCTGTGCATTGTTCTTTTTGGGCTATAAACATATTTTGTTGATGCCAAATTGACATTTCATTTCACAATTCTACTTAGTTAGAAGGAGGTTTCCGTGGGGGTGGTGAGTAGGTGCCACGGAAGTGGAGAAAGAATCGCTTAAAGTAAGCAAAGCAGAAAGGAAACAAAAACAAATTTATTTGGACTACGAATTTCGAAAGGGAAATGGAAAATACCGTGCATGTTTTCCACGGAAATGAGAAATTTTCCCAAAATTAAAACTGCCAAGAATCCATAGAATTTCTAGACCAACGCGAAAACCCAAAAAGATAATTCATTTCAGTACAATGTAATAATCCACAGCCCTGCCCAGTCCGTGCCCTGTCACACTTACAGTATCGCTTCATCAAGCTCTTCTTGTAGGCCGCCGAACGCTCCGCCTTGCGCTCCGGCTTGAGGCGCATTCTCGCCCGCTCGCACTGCGCCGAGTCATCCGACTCCGTGCCGGAGTAGGTGCGTCCGCGTCGGCGACTGGCCGCAGAGGCGGCCGCTGCTGCATTGGCGGCGGCGCTGGTGGCACTGCTCAGGGACAGATCCAGGGGCGAGTCGTAGCCATCCTGGTACTGCTCGAGCAGTTCCTCGTCGTCTGCATCCGCCTCGACATCCGCATCGGCCTCGGCATCGTCCGCATCCTCCAGGGTCTCCTCGTCCTCGATGTCGCTCATGGGCTGCTGCTGGCTTCCCTCGGAATCCCTGTGCTGTGGTTGGGGCAGGAGCTGACTGGCGGCAGACTGGACATTGCTGGTGATGACGGAACTACGTTGGAGCTGTTGCTTGCGCTCCCACAGGATCTTGGATACATCGTCTAGGGTGCTGCGAGTTTTGTCTGGGGAGGATTGGTGGTGCTGCTGCTGTCTGAGATGGTTGTACAGCACTTTGAACTCGCGGCAGTCGGGGGCGAGGGATTCGGACTCCTCCACCTCCTCATCGGCGGCGACAGCTGGGATGCTGATCTGTTCTTGTGGTGGCGCTGGCTCCTGGGCTTTGGCGGCAGACGCAGCTGGACTTGGACTTTGCCGCGCCGACCCTGACTCGGTATCATCTATGGCACCTGGTTCTGGTTCCCGTTCCCGTTCCTTCTTCTCCAGCTTTACCAGCTTCTCCCGCTCCTTCTCTGATTTGGGTTCTTCCTGGCTGGCAGCCTCCTCCATGGGCTCCTCTGCCTCTGGGCTCTCTCCCGCTGCTGGCGGGGCCTCTGCTGGAGCTGGCACAGCTGCTGCCGCTGGTGAGGCCACAGGCGTGGGCGGGGCCGAGGACAGTGACGAACTGGATGACGAAGAGGAGGACGAGGAGGAGGAGGACGAAGAAGAGGATAATGATAGGGATGAAGAGGAGGACAGCGAGGAGCTGGAACTGGAGCTGGAGACATTGGCTAGGGCTGCCGCCTGGCTGGCGAAATTGTGCGCCGTGGCAGCCACCAAATGTTGCACCATAATCATTTTGCACAACGCGTCGTATGCGTGATGTCTTCGATAAATGGTTGCGTATACGCAGCGTGTTACACTTTAGACATGGCTTTTCCTATGGGTCACTCCCAGTGGGTTTTTCCTCGTTTCCCTCTCTCTTGATTGTTTAAACTATTCTATTAAATTGCACTAAAATTTTTCTCTTTTTTGCACTTTCGGTTCGTTGTTTATGTTCTTCTTTTGCTGTTTATTTTTTCGTAGCTTTATTTGAGGTATTTTCAATTTTCAATTGCATTCAAAATGTATAACATATTCGGCTCTGGTTTGCATTTTGTTGTTGTTGTTGTTGTTGTTGCTTTTGAACTTTTCACAGATTCTGGACGATTTTCTTTGATTTTCTATCATGCGTAGGTTTGACTAATTTTGTGGCTCTGAGTGCCAGAGTTGCAGGGGCGCCTCTTTTGTTGCCGGTGCGGCAGAGACACAGAGAGACATTATATTGTTGTTGCTGTTGTTGTTGTTGTTGTGGGTAGTGGTATATTCTCTACTAAATATAACTCTATGTTGCACAAGCACTCAGCACGCTTGGGGCTTGGGGCATGCCACTGCGGTCTGTCTCTCTTTTTGCTTGTTGCTCGCTTTCTGGTGCTGTTCGTCGCTTCTCGCCGCTTGCTTTGTGGGGGAGCTGCCGCGCGGCACGTCGTTTATCTCTTACGGTATCAGCGAAACTAAAATCTAAAGTCAGCACAAAAACCGCTGCCACTGTTTGTTGGTCGCAAACAACAAACGTCAGCGCCAGCGTCAGCGTCAACGTCAACGTCAGCGTCGGGCAGGCAGCAACGCAGGCAGCGTTGTGTCTCGCAAAAGCGCGCGCGCGCCCCACTCACTCACCAATACCCAAATACTGTGGGGAGCCGAACCCCAAGACGAACACGAACACGCTCGGACACGCACAGGCACGGCACGGCACACGCACACGCACATGCAGGTGTAAAAGGCAGACAGAAATGAGCAAACAATCGGCGAATGGGGCTCTGAATGGGGCTCGCTCGCTCGACTCGCGCCGACTGAATGTTGTTGGAGCTTCTGTCGGTCGCTGTTGCTATCTCTGCCGCTTCTGCTGCTGCCTGTGATGACTGCGCTGCTCTGCTCTGCTATGGTGTGCTGTGCTGGCTGCGCCAAGTATTGCGAAAACATTGCGAGAGTGTAAAATGGCAAACAAACGTAATAGCGAGAGAGCGAAAATGTTTGGCGCTTGCTGCTGCTGCTGCTGCTGCTGTTCCTCCTCTTCCTTCTACTTCTACTCCTTTTCCTCCGCCCCGCCTGCTATGCTTCCACTGGTGCGGTGCTGTTGCAGCTACTTGTTTGCTCATTTGTGTGCGTGCTCATGTTTGGGGGGGATTTAGTGTGCCACATGCACATTTACATGCGATTCTCGCGGGCTTCCATTTTTGGTTGGCAGCGGAAGAAGTGACCATAAAGAAGTTTTCTCGAATCCCCTCATTTCCCCACAGAACCTGCAATCAATGAGTTCCCTTTGAAAAGATCACTTCCACGATCCATAGCCAAAACACGATCCACAACAATCACAAGCTGCGACGACCCAGACCCAGTGCCCACCACCACCCGCTATGGGAAGAGCGAGAGGAATTCAGCGGCTCTCCAAATGGGTCAGACAACGACTTCAAAAGGGCTGAACGATCATCTGGTCGGTGGCCACTGGCCACTGGCCAGAGCAGGACGAGACGGGAGGGGAGAGAGCAGGGCAGGAGAATGTTTGGCAAGAGAAGTCGTCGCTGACGCCGCTGCCGATGCTGCTGCTGACGCTGCTGCTGCTGCAATCGGCACGATTATGACTCAATGCAAGTGTATGTACGACACTGTGTGTGCGGAGAATGAGAGAGCGTTCGCGTTCGTGCGTTCTCTCTCTCTCTCTCTCTCTCTCTCTGTGTGTGTGACGATGGCAGTGGAGCAAATTTTCACTTTCCGTTTGTTTAGTGCTGTTTCTGGATGAAGGGAGCTCGAGGGGAGGGTAGGGATTGGACGGCCTTTCCATTTACTTTGCCGATTGCGATTGCAAGTGTGCGAGCAGGAGGCAAGGCAAGCACTCAGCACTCAGATTCGGCTCTGCTCTCTCTTCGCGGCTGCTGCTGCTCTCTCACGGCATATAATGTATGTTGCAAATAAAGGAAGCGAAGCAGAGCGCAAGTAGACGACGACCACGACGACGACAAGTAGAAGAAGTAGCAGCAGCAGCAGATCTGTGGCGGCGGCAGAAGGAAGAGTTTTGTTTTTAGAATCAGCGCCAGGGGGGTGTGTGGGCGGGAGTGGGTTGGCTAGGCTGGCGGGGGGTGTGTTAAAGAAGAACCTAAATGAGGCGACGCCGACACAGACATACTTTTGCCATAGCTCTTTGTGTGCCTGTGTGTGAGTGTGTGTGTGTGTGTCTGTGTGTTGGCTTGTCTGTGTTTGAAATGAGTCCAATGTACCGACCAACTGTCAAAGCGTGGAAACAGAAGCACTGCGGGAGGGTGGTAGGGGGGGGTCATGGTAATCAGTAAGAGGTGGAACAGAGGGATGTATAGAATGGACCTCTCGGGGACATGCTTAGGGTTTGGTTGCCGCCGTCGCGACGGCTCCTTTACCAACTCGACGAAGAACAGACAGAGAAAGCGAACGAAAGCGAGGAAGACTAACAGCTACAGCCACAGAGAAGGAGAAAGGTAAGGACAGTGAGGAAGGGGTCCACAGAGCGAGAGGGAGGGGTCGCGCCCAAAAGGGGGCCGCAGACAGACAGTCGTAAAGAATTTGTTGAAGAGGAAGCGCATTAGGTGGCTCTCGTCTCCGTTTCGGTCTCTCTGTGTTTGCCTATGTGTGTGTGTGTTTGCTGGAAGCTTCTGGGAGCTTCGCAGCTCCTTGACTCCTGCGGGCTTTATACGTACATAAGTAGGAGAAGGAGACGACGACTGTGTAGTCGATTCAAGTTTCAACAGAAGTCATTGAACAGCCAACGACAAAGCTGCACAGTGGTTGCAATTCGAATCAAAAATTGTAATATTACTATGACACTCACGATAAGACATCGATATATTAGTCACGAAGATCGGAGACCGCCAAAGAGCGAGGATTGAGGTACTTGCACTGCTAGACTATTTCCTGTGAAGATACTATCAGCTCCGTTAGCTCATTTTGTTCCTACCTAAACAAGTTCATTTATAAATCCATTGATTCGGCGATATATCTATTCCTTTCTGTGCTTTTCCTTACCCCTCTCTTCAGGGCTCAGCCACCACAGAGAAACGCTTCTGGCCCCACTGTACACAAGTTAAGTCTACAATAAAAGGGCGCCACCTACTCTGCCCACTCACTCCTCCCGCCCGCAGGGGGCCCAGACAAACGGGCGATGGGCAGGGAGGATGTCGGAAATGTAGAAGCAGGGCAACAGTTTGGGGTTTCGGGTATTGCTTACAGCTCCCTCTGCCACGTCCACTTCCACTTCCATTACCTCTGCCACTCTTCTGACAGAACCATAACAGTAACAACAAAATTGTATATTGAACGGAGCGTCATCCAGGGGCAGAGCAGAGCAGCAGCGAAGCAGCAGTAGCAGCAGCGACGGCGAGACACAAAAAATTTCGGTATAAACAGCAGTGAATGACCTCATATCATCTAATACACGCGCCATGCACTCAAACCACAGTCGTCCCAGTCGCAGTCGCAGTACCGCGTCCCAAAATCCCAATCCCAGTCCCACTCGCAGCAGTCCCCGTAAATTTGTCGCATTGACTAACCGACCGACTGACTGAATGACTGACTGATTGACAAACCTGGAGACTGTAGACGAAAGATGGCGAGGGAGCTGGAGCTGAAGCTGAAGCTGGAGCTGTGTCAGAGGCTGAAGATGAAGCGGAGACAGAAGCAGAATCAAAAGCAGAATCACAATCACAATTTCCACTTCCCCTCTCTTCTTTTTATGCACTCTCACTCGATTACGATGGCAACGGCAACGACGACAAGGCGACAAAACTGTATGATACCTCTGATTAAGAGGCCATTTCAGGCCAAGCCAAACTGGGAATGAAGTATGTGCATTAACTGCCTGTGTTCCTGCATGCATTCACGAATCACTCAATTAATATTTTGTCTCATTAGTTAAATATATAATATTATATAATAATATAATTTAAAGCAAGATTACTACCTGCAGGGTACCCTACAGCCTCGTTCTCCAAAAGCTAGACTTTCTTCCTTTTTTGTTTTTTGCCTTTTCTGCTGTGTTCCCTTTCACGCCAAAGCAGAAGTCAAAGTGGGAGAAGAAGAGCAGACTTTGTAATTGTTACGGCTTCGATGATGGGTGGGGGGTGGGGGACAGAAAAAAGGAGTGCTAGAGAGGGGGCGAGGGACTAGGCGAGGGAGTGTTAGAGAATCTCTTTGTTCAACGCTCGTAATCTTTTGCCGAAAAAAAGTGCTCGTCGTATAGTTTCTTTGTCTCTCTCCTAGCAATGGGTGGATGGGTGCACGGCACGGCTGATGGTAAGCGCGGGTGGGTGCCGGCAGGGGAATAGACTTTGATGGGTTAAACGAGCGAAATTTATAATGGTTCGGAATTGATGATTGCGACTTTGATGCTTGACGAGATTAGGAAGATACCGCAGCAGCAGCATCAGCATCAGCAGCCTGATAGATATCGGGTATCAACTGCAAGCTCGTGACCTGTTGGCGAACAGATCTTTAAGGTTGATTTTACGCTCAAATTAATGGGAAACTTTATGCGATTTACATTGTTAGTAAGGGGGATTCGGTACTACAGTCATTCTAACCGATGATTCAGAACTGAACATAAAGAGGAAAATCAATTAAGAGTGTGGAATAAACCATTAAGAATCATAGCTACGATGGCTCATTTTATACAGCAATTGGAGAAAGAGAATTGGTACGGTTTTTGCTCGATTTCTATCGATTTCGAAAAACTTAAAGTCCCTGAGAATTTTCTATGTGCGTAATTCTGTTACAATATTTCAAAATATCATAGAAATGATCAAAAAATCCACAAAACCTGGAGAGTTGGGGAAGGAAATAAAATGTAAACTTATATTTTGCGAATTTCTATACCGTCTTGAAGATTAATTTATGGTCAGATCTCATTCCAGCAACCTTTAGAGATCTCCAAAACTCCAAGAAGATTCCAAAACTCTTTGAAGAAGAGTCTTTTAGCTATCGCCCAACACAAGCCAAAAAAAAAACCTGCACAATCTTCTCCGATTCTCTGCCGAAAACTTCAGGAAGTTTCCAGAGCTCTGCGAACAGAGAGAGAGCGCGCAAAAGAGAGCGACACATGTTCACATGACATTCACCTTTCGAGCCGCAAATGAAAGCAAAAGAGCCGAAAACATTTATATTTGTCTGTACAGCAGTTTTTCATTAGCTCTGGGCCAAAACCTTCGCTTCGGACAGCCAGCTTCAATTGTTTCCCCATTTCCAGCCAACAAGAGCAGCAAAAAGACTGTGGCTCAAATGCACTTGACCATCAGAAGAAGAAACCGCCAAAAAAAAGAGAGACACAAGTAGATTGGTTGACTGCATCATCTTTTGGGGGCACCGACAACTTTGCGTATGAGTGATTTGCTTGTTCGTTTTGCATGTAACGCGGCCAATTACAAGTGTCAACTTTCTCACTACCCCTTGTGAGAACCTTGACCGCGACTTATGGCCAAATGCACACAAGTTCTTAACATGTTATTGAGATGACGTAAAAAAAATCAAGAAACTTTGGGGGCAAAAAGATCTTAAGCAAAAAGAGCAAAGTACAAGCATTTAGCATGATTAAGAATTATGATGATGAATAAGTTTTGTGCCGCTGCTGCTGCTGCTGCTGCTGATGTGGGCACCTTTTTGCGAGCCGAGCCAATGTCAATGATAAGATACTACGAATACGAATATGAGTAGTATGAGTACCAGTCAGTGGCAGACCGACTATATCTGGCTTTCTGTCTGTCACTGCCAATGACGAGAGCCAAGAGATTGTTGTCTTGTCTTGTCTTCGCTTAAAA